CCTGCTCCTCTCCTCTGCTCCTCTCCTCTCCTCTCTCTGCTCCCTCCTCTCTGCTCTCTCCTCTCCTGCTCCTCTCCTCTCTGCCTCTCCTCTCCTGCCCTCTCCTCTCCTCTCCTCTCCTCTCCTCTCCCTGCTCTCTCCTCTCTCCTCTCCTCTCCTGCTCCTCTCCTCTCCTGCTCCTCTCCTCCTGCCTCCTCCTCTCCTCCTCTCCTCTCTGCTCCTCTCCTGCTCCTCTCCTGCTCCTCTCCTCTCCTCTCTCTCTGCTCCTCTCCTCTCCTGCTCCTCTCCTGCCTCTCTCTCTCCTCTCCTCTCCTCCTCTCTCCTGCTCCTGCTCTCTCCTCTCCTCTGCTCTCCTCTCTTCCTCTCCTCTCCCTCTCCTCTCCTCTCTCTCTCCTCCTCTCTCTCCTCTCTCCTCTCCTCTCTCTCCTCCTCTCCTCTCCTCTCCTCTGCTCTCCTCTCCTGCTCCTCTCCTCTCCTCTCTCTCCTCTCCTCTCTCTGCCTCCTCTCCTCTCCTCTCCTCTCTCCTCCTCTCTCTCCTGCTCCTCTCCTCTCCTCCCTCTCCTCTCCTCTCTCTCCTCTCTCTGCCTCTCCTCTCCTCTCCTCTCTGCCTCCTCTCCTCCTCTCCTCTCCTCTCCCTCTGCCTCTCCTCCTCTCTCTGCTCCTCTCCCTGCTCCTCTCCTGCCTCTCCTGCTCCTCTCCTGCTCCTCTCCTCTCTCTCCCTCTCTGCTCCTCTCCTCTCTCTCCTCTCTCTGCCCTCCTCTCCTGCTCCTCCTCTCCTCTCCTCTCCTGCTCCTCTCTCTCTCCTCTCTCTGCCTCTCTCCTGCTCCTCCTCTCCTCTCCCTCCTCTCTCTCCTCTCTCCTGCTCCTCTCTCTGCCTCTCTCTCTGCTCCTCTCCTGCTCCCTCCTCTCCTCTCCTCTCCTGCTCTCTGCCCTCTCTCTGCCTCCTCTCCTCTCCTCTCCTCCTCTGCTCCTCTCTGCTCCTCTCTCTGCTCCTCTCCTCTCCTCTCCTCTCCCTCTCCTCTCCTCCTCTGCTCCTCTCCTCTCCTCTCCTCTCTCTGCTCCTCTCTCCTCTCCTCTCCTCTCCTCTCCTCTCCTGCTCCTCTCCTGCTCCTCTCTCCTGCCTCTCTCTCCTCTCCTCCTCTCTCTGCTCCTCTCCTGCTCCTCTCCTCTCTCTCTCCTCCTCTCTGCCTCTCTCTCCTGCTCCTCTCCTCTCCTGCTCCTCTCCTCTCCTCTCCTCTCCTCTCTCCTGCCTCTCTCTGCTCCTCTCTCCTGCTCCTCCCTCTCCTGCTCCTCTCCTGCTCCTCTCCTCTCCTGCTCCTCTCCCTCCTCTCCTCTCCTCTCTGCCTCCTCTCTGCTCCCTCCTCTCCTCTCCTCTCCTCTCTCTGCTCCTCTCCTCTCCTCTCCTCCTCTCCTCTCTCCTCTCTCTCCTCTCTCTGCTCCTCTCCTCTCCTCTCTCCTCTCCTCTCCTGCTCCTCTCCTCCCTCCTCTCCTGCTCCTCTCCCTCTCCTCTCCTCCTCTCCTCTCTCCTGCTCCTCTCCTCTCCTGCCTCCTCTCCTGCTCCTCTCCTCTCCTCTCCTCTCCTGCCTCTCTCTCCTCTCCTCTCCTCTCCTCTCCTCTCCTCCCTCTCTCCTCCTCTGCTCCTCTCCTCTCCTCTCCTCTCCTCTCCTCTCCTCTCCTGCTCCTCTCCTCTCCTCTCCTCTGCCTCCTCTCCTCTCCTCCTCTCTCTCCTGCTCCTCTCCTCTGCTCCTCTCTCTGCTCCTCTCCTGCCTCTCCTCTCCTCTCCTCTCCTCTCTCCTCTCCTGCTCCTCTCTCTGCTCTCTCCTCTCCTCTCCTCTCTCCTCTCCTCTCCTCTCCTGCTCCTCTCTCTGCTCCTCTCCTCTGCTCCTCTCCTGCTCCTCCTCTCTCCTCTCCTCTCCTCCTCTGCCTCTCCTGCTCCTCTCCTGCTCCTCTCCTGCCTCTCTCCTCCCTCTCCTCTCCTCTCCCTGCCCTCCTCTCCTCTCTCCTCTCTCCTCCCTCTCCTCTCCTCCTCTCTCCCCTCTCTGCTCCTCTCCTGCCTCCTCTCCTGCTCCTCTCCTCTCTCTCTCCTCCCTCTCCTCTCTCCTCCTCTCCTCTCCCTCCTGCTCTCTCCTCTCCTCTCCTCTCCTGCTCTCCTCCTCCTGCTCTCTCCTCTCCTCTCCCCTCTCCTCTCCCTCCTCTCCTGCTCCTCTCCTCTGCTCTCCTCCTTCTCCTCTCCTCTCTCTGCCCTCTCCCTCCTCCCTCTCCTCTCCTCTCCTCTCTCCCCTCTCCTCTCCTCTCCTCTCTCTGCCTCCTCTCCTCTCCTCTCCTCTCCTCTCCTCTCCTCTCCCCTCTCCTCTCCTCTGCCTCTCCTCTGCTCTCTCCTCTCCTCCTCTCTCTCCTCTCTCTGCCTCCTCTCCTCTCCTCTCTCTCCTCCTGCTCTCCTCTCCTCTGCTCCTCTCCTGCTCCTCTCCTCTCCTGCTCCCTCTCCTGCTCCTCTCCTCTCCTCTCTCTGCTCCTCTCCTGCCTCCTCTCCTCTCCCTCTCCCTCCTCTCTCTCCTCTCCTGCTCCTCTCTCCTCCTGCCTCCCTCCTCTCCTCTCCTCCTCTCTGCTCCTCTCCTCTCCTCTCCTGCTCCTCTCCTCTCCCTCCTCTCCTCTCCTGCTCTCCTCCCTCCCTCTCTGCTCCTCTCCCTGCTCCTCTCCTCTCCTCCTCCTCTCCTCTCCTGCTCCTCTCCTCTCCTGCTCCTCCCTCTCCTCTCCTGCTCCTCTCTGCTCCCCTCCTCCTCTCTCCTCTCCTGCCTCCTCTCTGCCTCTCTCTCCTGCTCTCCCTCTCTCTCCTCTCCTGCTCCTCCTCCTGTCTCCTCTCTCTCTCCTCTCCTGCCCTCTCTCCCTCCCTCTCTGCTCTCTCCTGCTCCTCTCCTCTCCTCTCCTCCTCTCCTCTCCTGCTCCCTCCTGCTCCTCTCTCTCCTCTCCTGCTCCTCTCCCTCCTCCTCTCCTGCCTCTCCTCTCCTGCTCCCTCTCTGCTCCTCTCCTGCTCCTCCCTCCTCTCTGCTCCTCTCCTCTCCTCTCCTCTCCTGCTCCTCTCCTGCTCTCCTCCTGCTCCTCTCCTGCTCCTCACCTCCTCTCCGCCTCTCCTCTCCTCCTCCTCCTCCTGCCTCCTCTCCTGCTCCTCTCCTGCTCCTCTCCTGCTCCTCTCTGCCCTCTCCTCTCCTCCCCTCCTCTCCTGCTCCTCTCCTGCTCACCGCCTCTCCTGCTCCTCTCCTGCTCTCCTCCTGCTCCTCTCCTGCCTCCTCTCCTGCTCCCACCTCCTCTCCGCTCCTCTCCTCTCCTGCCTCCTCTCCTGCTCCTCTCCTCTCCTCTCCCTCTCCTGCTCCTCTCCTTCTCGCGCTCCTCTCCTGCCCCTCTCCTGCTCCTCTCCTGCTCCTCTCCTCTCCCTGCCTCCGCTCCCTCTCCGCTCCTGCTCCTCTCCTGCTCCCTCTCCTCTCCTGCTCCCTCCTGCTCCTCTCCTGCTCCTCCTGCTCCTCTCCTCTCCTCTCCTCTCAGTAAGCAACAGTAAACAATGCTTGGGTCGACTAAATCGCTACATTGATTGTTTTCCATAAGATCATGATACTTTGTTTCTTTTGGAAACAGAAGTCACAGACTCGGAAAATGCGTTGGCTCTCGGTACAAAGTCTAAAGTAGAGAAAGAAAAAGGCAAAAAAAAATAACAACCCTTCCTAAAATATAGCAAAACATGTTAAATTATGACAGCTGGTCACTCTCTGGTTTTCTCTGGCTCTCTTGGGTCTCTCTCTGGTCCTCTCTCTCTGGTCTCTCTTGGTCTCTCCCTGGTCTCTCTCTGGTCTCTCTCTGGTCTCTCTCTGGTCTCTCTCCTCTCTGGTCTCTCTCTCTCTGGTCTCTCTTCTGGTCTCTCTCTCAGGTCTCTCTTGGTCTCTCTCTGTCTTCCTGGTCTCTCTCTGCTCTCTCTCTGTATCTCTCTGTCTCTCTTGGGTCTCTCTCTTGGTCTCTTCTGGTCTCTCTCTGTCCTTCTCTGGTCTCTCTCTCTGGTCTCTCTCTCGGTCGCTCTCTGGTCGTCTCTCTTGGTATCTCTCTCTGGTCTCTCTCTGGTCTCTCTCTGGTCTGCCTATGGTCACTTCTGGTCTTCTTGGTCTCTCTCTGGTCTCTCTCTGGTCTCTCTCTGGTCTTGGTCACTCTATGGTCTCTCTCTGGTCTCTCTATGGTCTCTCTCTGGTCTCTCTCTCTGGTCTCTCTCTGGTCTCTCTCTGGTCTCTCTCTGGTCTCTCTCTCTGGTCCTCTCTCTGGTCTCTCTCTGGTCTCTCTCTGGTCTCTCTCTTTGGTCTCTCTCTGGTCTCTTCTGTCTCTCTCTGGTCTCTCTCTGGTCTTTTGGTCATCTCTGGTCTCTCTCTGGTCTTCTCTCTCTGTCTCTCTCTGGTCTCTCTTGGTCTCCCTTTGTCACTAATTTGTCATGTTAATTTTTTTTAATAGCTTTTTACCAATCACAGCGCAGGGGACTAACAGGATGAAAAAATAGCCGCCGTTGGCTTAATTCCGGGGCTTTTTTAAACACCTTGTTTTTTATCAATGTGTTTTATTAAAGTGCATTGTCCCCGCTTTGAAATAACCTAAACTGAAACCTGAAAACTGACACCCTCTCACACCTCTCCACCCTCGCCTCGCGCTCTCCCCCTCTCCGTCCTCCCCTCTCACACCGCTCACACCTCTCGCCCGCTCCCCCTCCTCGACCCTCAATCACCCAACCCGCTCTCCCTCTCCCCCTCATCACCCCTCTCACATCCTCTCACCCTCTCCACTCCCTCTCCCCCTCTCACCCTCTCGTCCCGCTCACCCGCTCCCCCCTCTCCCCCTCTCCCCCTACTCACCCGCGCCCCCTCTCCTCATCCCCCTCCATCCCCCAAACCCTCTCAGCACGCCTCTCCCCCTCTCCCCCTCTGCGTCTCCCCCCCTCCTCCCCCTCGCTCTCTCACCTCGCACCACGCTCGCTC